AAACTGAACAAGGGGCAAAAATTTTACCTTCGATTTTCTCAAAAGAGCATTTTCCAGGATAGCCCACTTGTGCTTAAAAGCGACCACATATGTCTGTTTTGACACAGTGTCAGTTCGGAAGCAGCGTTTGACCTGACTGCCAGGCTTTGCGCGTGCTCCGTGTGTGTGCTGATTGGACTTCTGTTGTTTGTTTTTACTTGTTATTCAATTGTAGGTGGACGCGTCTGTCTACGCGATGATAACATTAGGTGATAAGGGTAACTCAGAAATTAAATCACTTGTACATAAAATTGTTTTCGTCCATTTTGCTTTGATTTAAGTGTAGTGTATTTTGTTGCGTTTTGTTTGTGTGTAATGTTTTAAGTAAAGCATTTTTGTTTTTCTGTTTTGTTCTATGGATGGTTGGCTGGTGCTCTGGTGTGGTTTGCTCCTTCTTTCCTATAAAAAGTCAATCGTCTCTATCTCCCCTCCTTCTATAAATTTTGTGTTTGTTGTTACTCTCTTATAACACCTCTAATCTTCGGCACTTGTATGACCTTATTGTGTTGCAAGTGCCGTAAAACTCTCACTAAAACTAAACATTACTTTTGTCATTTTCCTCTACTTCTTTTGTATGTTCGTCACTCTCTTGTGAACTGCTATTTCCGGGATGCCTTGATAGTCGAAGTTGACCTTGTGCTGTTGAGGATAGAGAGGTGAGCAGAGTAAGCCCGATTCCCCTTTTGGACTTTTCTGTTGACTTCCACTTCCACCCCTTGGCGCTCATATGACCTTATGCAGTTGCGAGCACCGTAAAACCTCTACTAAAACATAAAAAACACTCGTCCCTGCACTGATATTTAGTGCTAGGCCTATTGTGTTCTGATATGTAGGTATTTACTCAACAAAGCAAACAAACAGATGATAAGCTGGCTAAATTCCTCTCTGAGGCCTGTAGACGGTTAGCCCTATCCGTACGTCGTGTTTTACTATCGTATCCATACGACGTGGGGAACTCTGTGCCACCACTTAACCCTATCCGTACGTCGTGTTTTACTATCGTATCAATACGACGTGGGGAACTCTGTGCCACCACTTAACCCTATCCATACGTCGTGTTTTACTATCGTATCAATACGACGTGGGGAACTCTGTGCCACCACTTAACCCTATCCGTACGTCGTGTTTTACTATCGTATCAATACCACATGGGGAACTCTGTGCCACCACTTTCCAAAGAGGGAATTTACTCGTTAATCTGATCCGTACGCTTTTCATAGCGGTCTGTCAAAACGATTTTTTGAGAAATACTTATAGTTTCAAAGAGATCTTCGTACTGGAGTATTCTAAAATGAGAAGAATACAACCCCGGGGTACGGATAGGGTTAAAGTCATACTAATATAGGCCTTACATAGGATTACGAGTCCGGTAGCGTAGCCACTAGCCACTAGACTATCTCTTGTTGTGTTGCATAATATGCTGAGATGACTCTCCAAAACCTGATAAGTGGATGGTTGGCGGGTGCTCTGGTGTGGTTTGCTTCTTCTTTCCTATCAAACATATATGGTCCTTCTCTCCTCCTCCTTTTTTATGTTTGTTGCTCTCTTGTAACACTTCTAGTCTTCTGGCGCTCATATGACCCTATGCAGTTGCGAGCGCCGTAATACCTCTACTAAAACTATTTTAAAAATCCATCTCTCTTGTTTGTTTTTGTCGAGGTTTTTCGGCGCTCGCAACTGCATAAGGTCATATGAGCGCCAAGGGGTCGATGTCAACAGAGATGTCCTTACAGGGAATCAGACTTACTCTGCTCACCTCCCTAGCTTCAACAGCACAGTCTGCTTCGACTATCAAGGCACCCTGGAAATAGCGGGTCACAAGAGCGTGACAAACATACAAAAGAAGTAGAGGAAAATGACGATAGTAAGGAATAGGAAACATACAAACGAAGTAGAGGAAAAATGATGAAAGTAAGGATTAGGAAATAAAAAGCAGCAGTTCCCTGTTGCAGTTCAGGCACAGTTATGAGCATGACATTGATAAATCAGCCCATTTACAATTACAACTCTACTGTGGATAAGAACTCTAGATGTTAATGTTCCGGGAAAGGCTTCAGTCTGTAGCACCGCCCGGGGGGCCATCTATGTCTCTAAGCATGCTCTACATGGAAAAGGGCTACAAGGCCTAGACGCTGGTCTGAAATCTAGCTACATGTATTTTTGGATCCACAATCACCAGTTCCCGGTCCCTGGACGAGGAAATAAACATCCAAACTGCACAACTGGAAAAGAAGTGACAGCCTTTGGCAGACTATAGTATGTACTAGCAAGGACCTGGAACACATTTAATAGTAGCTGACCCCCCCCCCCCCCCCCCCTCCTCCCAAAACCCCCAAAACAACAACAACAAACTAACAAAACAAAAAAACCCAAAACAACCCCCCCTCTAAAAATAAACAACAACAAAACACAACAACAAACAAACAAACAAACAAACAAAAACCCACCAAAAACAATTTTTAAAAAATCCACATTAAACAAATAAACCAACCAACTAACAAATAAAAACAAAACCCCAAAGATCTTGATTTACACCGTTTATGTGCTCAGTGCAGTTTGTATGGATCAGAAACATGGACAACATTCAATGACAATGACAATCTTTATTCATCTCGAAGGGAGAAATTTGTCTTGGTCGTTTACAATGGCAGTAGACGTTACAAAAGTTAGACTTAAAGGTGCACTCACGCAAACGCACAACAAGACAGGACATGCCAAGTAAATACATGTCTCACGGGCTGGGACAATCCGCTCCGTAAAACATTCTCTCTCTCTCTCTCTCTCTCTCTCTCTCTCTCTCTCTCTCTCTCTCTCTCTCTCTCTCTCTCTCTCTCTCTCTCTCTCTCTCTCTCTGTGTTTCATTTGTAGCACTGTGTGTTCAGTAACCTCACTGCAGTTGGTTCGAATGAATTTCTATATCTGTCTGAAGTAGGCAAGGAAAGAAATTCAACAATTTCCATATAGATCTATATATGCCTACATGTGAATAATGATCGAGACTTCTGAGGAAGACCATGGACGTTATATGACAAGACAAAACTATGAGAAACAGAGAAGTCAGCTTTGCATCAATTACGTAATTGTCTCTGATTATTGTGTCCAACATTAGCAAAAGAAGACTAAGACTTTGGATGTTTAGGAAGCCATTGCGCGCACAATGGGTACATGTACCAGCACAGAGTTATCTCTTATAAGGGTCCCCTCTTATAATATACATCTATGTCTATGGATACCACTCACATACCGAAACAATTTTTAACTGCTGTTTGGAGATGCCATGTGTGATAACGGTCGAAGTGAAGTAGCTAGAGGAGGTGGGTATGGTTAGCGGGTGCTCTGGCGTGGTTTGCTCCTTCTCTCCCATCAAATACTGTATCTCGCTTCCTTATATCTCCTCCATCTATTTTGTGTTTTGTTGTTCTCTTAATTACAACACGGTACCTCGCTAATCTTCGGCATTTATATATATGAGTTAATTGTAATTGTTGCAAGTGCCGTACAACGCTTACTAATAAAATAAACAAGGACGACCAAAACTGCGTGTCAAGAACAGCTGCGGACACACAATAATGAAAGCATGCATCGCTGGCTCTCAGAACTGGGAAGAACTTGCACAAAACCATGATTTAGTGAAGAAAAATTGTGTATGAAGATAAGATAAGATAAGATAAGATAAGATACGCCCTTATTGCCCAGATCCTGGCACATTGGTTTTGTATTTCACCACATGTACACTGTACACACACTCACTCCCTCTCTCTCTCTCTCTCTCTCTCTCTCTCTCTCTCTCTCTCTCTCTCTCTCTCTCTCTCTCTCTCTCTCTCTCTCTCTCTCTTTCTCTCTCTCTCTCTTTCTCACACACACACACACACACACACACACATGCACACACACGCAGGCTTACAACCACATGCCTAATACGAATGAGCAGCAATATAAACTTAAGCAATAATAATCTTAGGCTAGATATACATGTATACTCAATGTTATTCTGATGCATGCTCAAAGGTTATATGAATAACTATACCAGATGGTTAAGATGGAAGAATTTTGATGGATGATGGTAAAAACGCCCTTCTGTATCTTTCTTTGTTACTGATGTTGGTGCGAGACATGAGACATGAGACATGAGACATGAGACATGCGACTACTGAGGAAAAACAAAATGAGAAATGACCAAATATAATACGACAGGAACAAGACAAATATGGCACCGGTACATAGGCCTACATCTAGTAAACAAAAGAACAAGTGCTAAAAGCGCAGCAGAATCGGTTGTCTTCCAGTGTACCATGACCTTCTTTCAGCTATTTACACGAGTCTGAAAGTGCAACAACAAACTTTAATGAAAGTTGTTGACAACCCCCTGTCACAGTCACAGACGTGAAGTCATACATGTATAGGCCTACTAATGAATTGCTTTGGTTCTTCAGACGAATGTGATATCCAGTCTTTTAAGAACAGTCTTTAGCTGCTGTTTCTTGTTTTTTCATCTTAAAGTTCTGGGTTAATTGACTTTTGGTGTATGGGACGAAAGCGCAAGTGGAATGATAATAGAAAAAGTTGACCCCACTAAAGCTCTCGCAAACAACCCACACATACAGTTGCGTCACTATAATATTTTCCAGCGCTTCCAAAAGTCTCGTAACGTCCTGTTGCATCATCAAGGGGGAAGATAAAATCTTCTGCTCTTCTCGCATTATTTTCCTTGTTTTCCTCAACATTCTCCGCAAGGACAAATGGAAGGCACAGTACTCTTCGTTATCTCCCCAAGGCCCCTTTTCGAAGGACCGGTATGTGTGTGCGTGTGTGTGTCCTGTTGTGTGTGCTCGTCTAGTTGTATTGTGAGGACGGCCTGGTATGACCTGTGACCCCAAACCCCTGACCCGAACAGCTGTTCCATTACTACGCGCATGCTCTGTGCCAGCCGGACGTGACCGAATTTTCCCCCGACACCGTTTCCCGATGGCGACAAGCACCGCTATGCTGGGATTACGGAGATGACCTATTCCATAATTTCTCGCCTCTAGAGGTTTATTAGACCACACGTTGATTTATACTTACACCTGAAAGGTCGCAGAGGTAAATGTGTCCATTTCTGGGCGTTAATGATTATGTGCCAATTCCTACTGGTTCTGCAGAGCGGGGTCTCGGTCTACTTCTAAGTTGCAGAAGTTCACACACAGAAACACGCACACTAATAAGAAAGACCCGGTGTGACCCAGATCGTCTTTCACAAATTGTTTACTGGTCTATATTTGGGGCCTTGGCCCCTAGCTCGAAATTGATGCCTTTTGACTCGTTGGAGCAGTTAACTATTCTATTTCAATGTTTGGAAGGACCATTGCTGATTCCACCTTTGAAGACAAATTAATAATGAAGCAAGTGCAGAGTAAGCCTACTTATTGCTGCTAGCATTATAATATGAGCTTAGACTCTATGGTGCATTTATCTGGTAAATGATGCTACACAACTCAAGATCTACACTCGAATCATGAAATTAAGGTCAACTAATCTGGATAGAACTATCTATTAGTCACGTTGATTGTTGCCAAGGTTGTAGTGTTAAAGTTCAAGTGTTGAATGCCAGGAGGATCTCCATCACACAGTCTGCTTTGCAATGAAACTAGCTAAGTTAAAGAACCTCTCTAAAGATTTAATCTAGATTTATCTAGATCTAAAGTCTGTAAGTTAAGTTGTGGTGTGTGGTTTCTCTGGTTGTTTATATAAAAGAAGTAAAGGGATCCGTCTTGTCTTAAGTGACATTAGTATTAGGACTAGGGTTATGTTTCACCGGAGAATAGCTTCCGGTCTATTGACCGGCGCGACGCCGGAGAATAGCCACTTGCTTATGTTTTTCTGTTTTCAGCTGCTGTATTTGTGAAAGGTGCCTCTTGCTGTCTAGAACTTTTGTCTATTTGCCAGTGTTATTCATAACGTCAATTTGTTAACTTTTTATGACGTCAGAATCAGGAAGAGCTAAGAAAACGTACCGGTAACAAGACATTTAGAAATAAAGAATTGCTAGATTCAGTCCCCCCCCCCCCCCCCCCCAATTTCCTGAGAATAGTCCCATCTTACTTATTATTGTTGTGACTTATTTGTCAATCATAGTCTATACCATTCTTTAGTCTAAATGGCACTGTGAAATGAAGTACTCCACCTGCTTACACACCAGACTTGTAAACGCCACCATTTATTATCCAAATATATGCCTACTTACTACGTTGTCGTTACTTTAGCCAATCAGGCAGGATTTGGACTTGACTGTTTTTATCGCAGTAGACTGGTTACAAGTTCGTACGAGACTTAAGTGGTACACCTCTGCATGGTGGTAGACGGGTAACTAAACAGGCACTAGTCTAGACTTTTGTTTATTGTGTTTGGGAAAATGACAGCAGTATTTTTGGTAGACATTTTATTGATGGTTATTGCGTCTTTTTTCATCTCTGTACTTGATTGCTTGCTGTCAATGTTTTATGGTATCAGTGAGATAAAATTGTTCATAGAGGAATAGTGCAGGATTGTGCCACATGAGTTTATAGAGGAAGTACACAAATCTACCGGGAGGGGTGGGGAGGTGGAGGTCACCATTGGGTCTATGTGTGCCATTCTTTGGCTCAAAAGGCAGTTGTATTCTTGTACAGCTGTCAAAATTGTCTGACACTCATAGGCGTAATTAGTTTTATTGTAATAATTTTGTTACTGTAAAAATAAGTTTTGTTACCATTATGATATGATTGCAGTACCACTGTATGAATGCTCATCTATTTTTCTAATTATGTGTGACACCTCCACAGGTCATAAGTTTCCCGGTGTGCCTACCAATGTCTCACGGGGTCCCTCAGGAAGGAGAGGTTCTCGTCTTCAACATCCTCCTGTCTTGTCCCTCTCTCTCTGCTCCTCGTGACTCACTCGAGAACTTTTTTGGATGAGGAAGAGTAGTTCATTCAGAGCACCTACAGGACCCAGTAGTGTGAGTCACTGACAAAAAAAAAAAGATTTTGAGTCAGTTGTCTCTGTGGGGAAACCACTATTGGGAGATTTTGCTGTCTCTTCACCTAGAAGTGGAAGGTTCTGAGATTGTGTGGCGGTGTAGCGTGTGCGTCGCTGGGCTTGTGTAGTGTGTGCGTCGCTGAGGCTGTGTGGCGGTGTTGTGCGTGCGTCGCTGGGCTTGTGTGGCGGTATAGCGTGTGCGTTGCTTGGCTTGCTGTGCCATGCGTAGACTGAGGCTGTCCTGAGCGCGCAGTGAGCATGAGCGGAGCAGCAGGGGGAACAACTGTTGATCATGCGGACTCGAGCCACCAAGTTCTCGCCCTTGACAGCCTGGGCAACTCTCACAAAGTGCTGCAGTCGCGGGAGTACGACACGGCGGGCTGGACGTTTGAGCAGGAAAAATGGCCGCTGTTGAACCTAACCATTCTGCCGATCCTGGCGGTGCTGATCTTCCTGGTGTGTGTGGCGCTCAAGATGTACAAGTGGTACCGAGACGGCTCCAAGCTCAAGGCTCGCGGCGATGTCGAGTTTGGGGACGAGAGTGAGGTCAACTACGGCATCATCACCGCGGGCGACAAACACTTCTGCCAGATCGACATTCGCTCCGACACCACGTCGGTGTACGACACGGTCAACTCTTTTCGGTATATGGGCAACGGCGCCGCGATACAGCCCGGGCCACACCCGTACCAAGACACGGTGACCTCATACAAGTCGTTGCTGCTCCAGCGAGCAGACGGGAGCCAGTACGACAGCGTCAAGTCATACAAGGCCTTCCTCCAGCGCGTGACGCAGAACAAGGACCTGGCGGTGGAGGTGAAGCTGCTGGAGAACTACCCGATTCGAAGCAAGAGCGCCGAGCACTGCTTTGTGGTGGAGGAGGAAAGCTCGGAGCGCTCGGGAGATGTGGCCACCAAACTGCTCAACTTTCTGCCCCTCAAGAAACAGCTCCACACCGAGGGCAAGATCAGCGAGCTGGAGCGCAAGAAACAGCGGTGTCGCAGGGCCAGTACTGACCTGCCTCCCGCCATGAGGAAAAGGTCAGCCTCGAACCCCACATGCCGCCGTGCGGTGGCCAGGGGGGCTGCCAGTTTGCCCTCTGTGCACTACGCAGTGTCCAGTGACTCAGACGAAGAAACGCAGCAGTCCTTCCAGTCGGACAGGAGGCGGAAGTGGGCAGAGAGGAAAAAGATGTACCGTTCTACCTCCGCAGGGAAGATCTCCAAAGACATTAGCCACATGGTTTGTGCTGATGACGTGGTTGGAGTTGGAAAACGCCGGCGACATTTTTCAGCGGACAGTGCTCGGAGGCCTGGCAAAACCTGGTACGTTCACAAAAAAGGGACCACAGCAATGGCGAAGAAAGCGAGGGAGACGCCGCCTAATGACCATCAGGTCGGCGGCAGGCCCGAGTGCAAGGTGAAGGTCACAACAGACAGAAGGGGCGAGGAGTCTTCGTCGGAGAACCCGCACAGTTCTCCCTCGTCGTGCGAGGTGGAGGCGATGTCTGACGCCGTGGTGTCGGACAGCGAGGAGGACACGCGGCTCAACACCATCCTGTCCACAGCATCTGACAAAACGCTGGACAACGACGTCTTCTTTAGCCTGGACTCGGGGGCAGAGCTCGGCTCGTCCACCGAGCTGCTGCAGCATTCCCCGCTCCGCCTGTCCCAGGTCTCGCCGGCGGCCATACCCCCGTGCATCGACGAGGAACAAGACCTCAGGAACCTCGACGAGCTGGGGCCGGTGGGGAGCTCTCCTGAGACTCTCCCAATCCCCCGTCTCCTTTATCATCCTTCTTCTTCTAGTAATCAAAACTGCAGAAACGTAGTGAGCAGTAAACAAGTCTTTGTTGAGAACAATCATCAGGCCATCCCCACCATCTCTTCAGATTTCTGTCATTCCAATAGTACTGTTGGCGACGCTTCGAAAAAACCACACGACGATCCGGTGTCGACCCACCCACAAAGTTCCAGTACCTTGGCGGCCGACTGCCATAAGCCCTCTGACGTACACAACAAAGGGGCAGATCTCTCGAAAGATGGGCTGGAGAAAGCAGCAGCAGCGGCCGCTGGAGGAGGGAAGGCCGGAGTTTCTGCGACGGGCAAGGTACAGAGCCCTCAGAGGGTGCAGCGCTTCCATGTGACCTTTGTCAATGCGGACAGCTCTACTCTACAGTCCGAGTAAACTCAGATGTGTGTGTCTGTGTGTGCGTGTTTGTGTGTGTGTGTGTGTGTGGGTGTGTGTGTGTGTGTGTGTGTGTGTGTGTTGTTTGACTGAATGCTATCGTAGAGTGACAAAGTTTTATCTGACATTTTTGGCCGCTTTGAGCTACGCAGACCATGAGGTTAGAAACCAAATGTGCTTAGATCTGCTCTATCAAAATGGTGAAATTATTCAGAGTTGTTATATCAAGATATTCAAAGAATTGCTTTTTGAAAAAGCTCCACCATGTTGTGAGACTCAAAGTTTCTCAAAACTAGGTACTGACCAGCAGATAGAACTTTTGTCATTCTGGGGTAGCGTGATGAATGATGTGTGTGGGCAGGCTAGCACATGTCATGTCATCAAACTAACGTCTGACATGTCACCAGCCTGAAACATGTCATGTGGTCAGACCAGTGCTTGTTATGTTGCCAGACTGACGTATGATGTGTGTGGTACCTCACCCAACTGACCTGTGCCGTTTGGCCAGATGTCACGTTCCAATGATCACGTCATGAAGATCTTGAACTGTTCTTGTGGGCATTTATTTGTTTGTGAAAGCCTTTAGCTGTAGTTTTACATTGTTTATATATGCAGTTCTTGTGTTTCCTACCAATGAATGTCTTGTGCAGTTGTCATCTTCTGTTACGTTCAAGTACAGTACACTGTATTGATATATATATATATATATATGTTGGGTTTATTTTAGTGTACAATAGAGAACCAGGATTTTTGTACCATTTATATATATATAGTTCAGAGGCTTAGTTCAAGACTTTTTAAAGTTTTGACTTTTTACAAGCGGGTCACAAAATGAATTGTTGCGAGCTTCATCATCAGCCTTTTAAAGTGACATTAGCTGTACTTACAGATGCCCCCCTCCCAGAATCCACGGGGGACTTTCTCTGGTGGTACATACCCATACTTTTGGGCCCACCATGCAGGCGTCAAACTTATAAAGGATTAAACGGAGTGCAATCAGTTTATTTGGTCGCTTTTAAGTTTGAGCACAAGGAGGCTATCCCGAGAAATGCTGTTGGGAGAAAATGAAATCGAAGGTAAAGTTATTGGACCCTTGTTCAGTTTCTTTAAAAGACAAGGAGAGTTTTCTCTATAACCCAACATATATACACACACCAATGAAACCAGACTTCTCCTATAGGTAGGGCAATGCTCACTTTTGGTGTAGAGGTCAAGATTTCTGGAAACCCCCGAAATCCGGGTTAACCCGCTTGTCCTTAAAAGCGACCATTTAGATGTATAATGTCTTCTGTGTATCATAGGTCATCTCATCACCGAAACAAAGCTTATTTTACTTTACTTTTACTTTTTTCTTCCACTTGTACCGGTGGGGGTCACGGGGAGATACAGGCGTGCGTCTGTCTGTCTGAAGCAAGGCGAGTGGCCTGTAGGGGGGACAAAGCAACTTCCCACCATATGTTCCAATTCTAAATTGTCGCGGAGAAGCCAAACATCATATAGGCTATCTATTTTTGCTGATGTTTTTAGGAATTTATTTTTCACAGTTTTGTCATTCAAAATGATGAATTGTTGATGCTAGCATTTCACCATGGGTCTTGAGTCATACACCAGGTTTTGGTTGTCATTTGGAAGCAGATTGTACGGTATTATTGAATCATGACTCACGCTTTATGATAGAAATAGAATAGAAGTGTTTTCTCTGGTATGTCATCTCTGTAGGTTTCTCGTAGCAGCTGAAACCCCCTGTAGATGCGGTGTGGAGAAGTAGCATTGTATCTTGCAGGGAGGCGTGACAAGAGATAAAAAATGCTCTTGTTAAATTTTTTCGAGCATAGATCTAGTACTAGTTTGTGTATCATGTTTCTGGAAACTTCTTTTTATCACTAAAAGTGTTTTGTCTTTTACTTTTAATAGTTGTAGTGGAAGTAACCTGAGGAATGTTTTGGGCCCTCTGTACGTGAAAGGCATTTAATAAGCTGCTTTTCCAGTTCTGAACGAGGCTGCTATTTTTTTAGTGAAAAATAGTAACTTTCCAATATTATGGGTTAAAGAAACGGTTTTAATTTTGTAGGCCTATGCGGCGAACAGAATACATTTTGATACTCAATATGTTTATGTGATTGAAAGATGGGGGGGAGGGGGATGGAGAGGGGGAGAAAGTGTTGTTAGATGATGTACAGAGTTTGCTATTGCTCTGTGTCAAATAGAAGTCTTTGTGTGTGTGAATGTGTGTGTGTGTGTGTATATTATATGTGTGTGTGTGTGTGTGTGTGTGTGTATGTAATATGTGGATGTGTATGTTTGTGAGTGTGTGTATGTTTGTTTTGTGTGTGTGTTTGTGTGTGTGTGTATGTATGTGTGTGTGTATGTATGTGTGTGTGTGTGTGTGTGCGTGTGTGTGTGCGTGCATATGTTATGTTTGCATTACATGGATATATGTCTTTGTGTGTGAGGGTATGATATGCATGTTTCTTGCATGTGTTTTTGTGATTGTTATAGGTTGCTTTTAAGCACAAGTGGGCTTTCCCGAAAAATGCTGCTTTTAGAAAATCGAAGGTAAAGTTTTTTACCCTTGTCCAGTTTCTTTAAAAGGCAAGGAGAGTTTTTTTCTATAACCAAACAAATGTACACACCAATGAAACCAAACTTTTCTTATAGGTAGGGCAATGCCCACTTTTGGTGTAGGTCAAGATTTCTGGACACCCCCGAAATCTGAGCTGGCCCGCTTGTCCTTAAAAGTGTCCATGCGAGACACTGTGGAAGTGTTTGTGTGTTTGTGTAACTTGTAAAAGCAGTGGAACATATGTGAGTGTGGTCTGTGTGGTCATGTGTGAATATATTACAAAAACAGTTGCTGTTTATAGATGTGTTTGTATGAGAAAACACATACACACACACAGACACACCCACACACAAACACACACTCACGCACAAACACTCACTCATGCTCAAACACATGCAGTCCTGCAAACCCTTACATACACTCCCAAACAAAAGCACACACACACACACGTACACACGTTTACTTCGACATATTTACTCATCTTCATCCACTCATGCATGCACATCTGACTCACACCTTTATTCACATTCTCCGACCTACACCCATACACACATATGTTCCCCAGGCATCCACAGTGTTTCTTTTCATGCACACACGCACACTCACACACACTCACACACACACACACATACGCACACACATACACACACACATCACCCACAACCACATGTGTACTGTGTCAAACCTCATGGATGTCATGTATATGTGTGTGCGTGCATGTTTGTGTGTGCGTGTGTGTGTGTGTGTGTGTGTGTGTGCCCGCGCGTATGTGTATGTTTGTGTGTGCATATGTGTGTGCATTTGTATGTATGTGTGCAAGTGTACATGTGTGTGCCTATACATGTGTATGTGTGCGCACGTTCGTGCATGCGCATGTGTGTGTATGTGTATGTGCATGCATGTGTGCGTGTGCATGCATGCGTGCGTGTGTGTGTGTGTGCGCGTGCATACTTGTTACTACTACGTGTGCATGCGCATACGTGTGTGTATGTGCGTGCGTGTGTGTGTGTCTGTCACAACAAGAGTTGTGTTTCCCC